CCTCCAGCATCCACCTGACTATTATGAACCTGGTGATATCATCATAGGTGGGATTACTTCTCAGCACCTTGTGCTTTGGGAATGGGAAAACTTCACCACATTTCCTAACAACTGGTTTTTAAACCATCCCGTGTAAGAAGTTTCATTTATTTGAACCATACATGCTCAAATGGGTACTGATGATCTAGTGGAGCGGTCCTAAGCAGTTATACACAGAAGTAAGTCCCATGTTATTCATCGGAGCTTACTCCCAGGAGAAATGTCCATAGAATTGTAGCTTTAGTCACCTTTAGTCTCCATGGTGGACATCTTTGGACCTTTGCTTCTGACATACTTGGTTAAATGTAAGCTGCCCTGAGCACATTCGTGGGGAGGGCGGGATAGAACCCCAATAAATAAATAAATAGTGAGACTGAGATCATCACAGCCACCTGCAGTTCTGTTTCACTCAGATGGCTTATACTACTTTAGCAAGAGTCCTGCTTTATATGGATTTGGATGTCTATCTGCTCGGGTCCATCTGTAGTATTCACTCTCTCTTGTTTTCCTCCTTGAAATAGACCAGCCTACTTTGTGACCCATTGTGTGAAATACAGCCCCAAAGCCATGCACTGTATCAGGAAGATAATAAAAACCGGAATGTTTTATTAAACATCTGTTGGGCCACCATACGTAGTTGGTGGACTGCAGTTGGCTTGATCAATCACAAGTCGTACCAGTCTAGCACAGTGGGTCCCCAATAATAGATCCAGCCATGTTTCCACTGGTGAAAAAAGGAGGGGGGGCTGCAACCATTTGTTGATAGTAACACCAACAGCAAATGGCTAGACCATAAAAAAACAACAACCCAAATGACAGATGAAGGACTGAGAAAGAAAAACTTCGACGATCTATTATTTCATACGCTTATAGCGGCAAGGTTGTTGTTCACCCTTTAGTAGTGGCACAATGAGAATCCTTGTGTTTGAGAATGAGTGTGGGTTCTTGTGAGTGACCTGTGTTATGGAAGATTCAGGTGGGTAGCCATGTTGGTCTGAAGCAGCAAAACAAAGTTTGAGCCCATGGCACCTTTAGGCCCAATGAAGTTTCTTTCTGGATATAAGCTTCAGGTATCTGAAGAAGTATGCATGCACATGAAAACTTATACCCAGAATAAAACTTTGTTGGTCTTAAAGGTACCAATGGATTCAAACTTTGTTTGTGTGTTATGTAAGGTGGATAATTTTCAAGAAAATCTGGTGTGATACATGATCGGAATTTTAATAACGTTAGATTTATTATACTGAAAATGTCTTGGAATTCTTTTTGATAATTGGGTGTATGGATATATGGAGGGGGGCAATCAGCTTATCTGCTGGTGAAACAGGGTTTTCACCACCCAAAAAGGCTCTGTCGGGGGATCATGGCACCTGCATGGACAAAAGCCATGTGGGACAGGGGCTGGAGTAAGGAAGGGAGACTGAGATGGATCCGGCCCATTAAGATTTGAAATTGCTGCTGTGAATTACAATTGAAATGTATTTTAGAAGTTGTGGGGAAATGGCTTCATTCAGGGCAGACTATTTCTGTGACATAATACAGCACTTCTGTTGCAGCGTGGTGACCAAGAACTACCAGCATGTTCTGGCCTTGGCATTTGCAGTGAATGAAATCAATGACAATCCCATCCTCTTGCCAAATGTCTCTCTGGGACTCCGCATCTATGATAGCGACTTGGACGCACGGGTGACTTACCAGGCCATCCTGAAATTGCTATCTGCTCAGCATGAAACTCTCCCCAACTACAATTGTGACGGCCAGAGGTTGATGGCTGTTGTTGGTGGCCTCCATTCAGAAACATCCATCCAGATAGCAACCATATTGAGCATCTACATGATCCCACAGGTAGTGCACAGGACATGGAAGTTCCACATGTAACCCCTTATTCTCTTTTCCATTATTTTTAACAGGAGTGGTTAGGTGGTCCAGAGAGCAGAAAATAGGCAGAAGCACAAGCTCTGATGGATAAGGAGCAAAGCCAGGCTTAAAAATAAAGGGAATAATTTATTTGGGTGTGTTTTCTTAAGCAACAAGGCTGAATCTTTGGAGAGATTCTTGCCAACCTGAGTAGAAGCATTAGGGTCTTATTAAGATGGGTTCTGGTTTAATTTAAGGCAGCTTCCTATATTCCACCCAAGTGGAATTGACCCAGATCTTCCTAGTCAAGTAAGAATGACTTTGGTTATTAAAAACTGAGGACGTTGGAGGGACGGTGCCTCCTGATTGCTCCTGGATCAGAGTTGTAGTGCCAGTTTGGTGTAGTGGTCAAGTGTGCAGACTCTAATCTGGGAGAACTGGGTTTGATTCCTCACTCCTCCACTTGCACCTGCTGGATGACCTTGGGCAAGCCATAGTTCTGAGAAGAGCTGTCCTTCAAAGAGCAGTTCTTGAAAGAGCTCTCTCAGTCCCACCTACCTCACAGGGTGTCTGTTGTGGGGAGGAGGGGAAGGGAAAGGAGTTTGTAAGCTCCTCTGAGATGCCAAGTGAAGGGCAGGGTATAAATCCAATCTCGTCTCTCTTCTCTTCTACATTACAACATGGAAAGTGGGCTAAAGAAAGGCAGGATCTCCGACCATTAAGATGAAAAGTGAATAGGGTAAACTTAGAAAATTTAATGGAACTTACTTTTGAGTATACATGTTTACAATTGCACTAAATATATGAAGATGTGAAATCCCTGCTATATTAACAGCCATGGTGCTGCAAAACGTTTGGGATGGATGAGGAAATGTTGTTTCATACTATTTGTTGGTTCAATATATTTGTAAATTGCTTAAACCATAAACCCTAAGGGTGGGGATGATATCAGCAGTGGTAAGGTGTGGGATGTGTGTGGCTATGGTGACCACTTCAGACAGCAAAACACTACCACTGGCTCATTTGTAAATACTTGTAAAAGGAATCTAGATTTTATTGAAGTAGATTTTAGGGAGAAGTAAATTACACATCTGTAAATTTTCACTTCAAACTCCTAAAAGAAAAAAAAAATCCATATGTTTCATTTTAGCTCCTCTATGGATCTTTCCCTGCTGTGCCAAGCAGTAAGACCCAGTCCCCTTCTTTCTACCAGATGGTTTCCAATGAAGCCCATCAGTATACTGGGATTGTCCAATTGCTTCTGCATTTCAGGTGGACATGGGTTGGGGTTCTTGCTGTGGACGATGATTATGGGGAGATGTTTGTTCAGTCTTTGCTGCCAAAGTTTTCTGAGAATGGCATCTGTTTTGCCTTCCTGGAAAGAACACCCAAAGTGACTTTCATTCCAGGAGTTTTTGAATTTATAGACCAGCTACGCAAGGCATCTTCAGTTCTGATCAGAAGCAAATCCAACGTGATGGTCATTTATGGCAATATCCAGTCAACCATTGGACTCCAGCTGATGCTAGTGGAGAATCAGTTCACTACAAGGATCCCCATCGACAAAGTGTGGATTACAACTGCCCAGTGGGATTTGTCATCATACACCTTCCATAAAATGCCTGACATCCAGCTCTTCCATGGTGCCTTCTCCTTTGCGGTTCACACAAAGGAAATGCCTGACTTTCATAAATTTGTTCAGCACAGAAATGCCAACTTTCTTAAGCGAGATGGTTTTGTCAGGGAGTTCTGGGAACAAGCTTTCGGATGCCTGCTTCCACCATCTCATGCAAACGAGGGGAGTGATGAAACTTGCAGTGGTGAAGAGAAGCTGGAGACCCTCCCGGGGCTGCTTTTTGAAATGAGCATGTCAGGCCACAGCTACGGTGTCTACAATGCGGTCTATGCTGTGGCGCATGCCTTACATGCCATGGGCTCTCTCAGAGTCAAAGGCAAAGCAACCAGGCATGAAGACAGAATGCTGTTTCAGAATATTCAGCCATGGCAGGTAAAGCCTCCTCAGAGGTGCATCTCTATTAGGTCAGGGCTATGTATGGAATCATCACATTCCAAACCTCAGCAGTGGCTCCTCAAGTGGAAGGTTACTTTTCTTGAACATTCCACTGTGGCTTTCCCTACTTTTTGGGCAGTTGAGGTTCTTCAAAGTGGTATCTGTTTGTGGGTTTTCTCTGCAGGACACTCTCGGTCGTGAATTTCCTCCGGCTGCTTTACCTGGGTCAATGGAAGATGATCAGCAGTTGATCTTGTAATTATGGCAACACCATCCCACATTGGACTACCATTTGACTCATCAATAACTTTTGGTGTATTGATGGGTCAAATGTTCTCTAAGGTGGAACTGGGAATTTCTGCTCTGTAGCTTGCAAGGCTTTTGATGTCTGGTTAAAAAAATTTTTTTTGCTCCCCCAGGCTTTTGGTTTTAAATGTCCCCTCCCCCACCACATATGTTTATTCATATTGATTGGATGCTGCATTGTTATTGTGAAAATGTTGCTGCTTTTGAAGTGGTTTTTTTTTAACAAGTTGTCTTAACTTGTTATTGGTAACTGCCTCAGAAACCCCTTCTTTGCTGAGAGGTAGGATATGGATAATCTAAGAAGTTTGAAATTTAAGTGAATAATTTTTTTTGTAACTAGTATAATCATCCCCTGCTTTTCACACCCAAGGGGGCCAAAGCAGCTTACAACACGTTTTTCTCTCTTCCATTTTACCCTCACCAGAACAACTCTGTGAGGCATGTTAGACTGAAGGATCATGACTTGTCCAAGGGCACCCAGCAAATTTCCACAGCAGACCAGGAACTTGATACTATTTCTCCTAGAGCCCAGTCCGATATGTGAACCACTACCTGTTCTAGATGGATTCAATCCCTCAGAGGAACTTCCTAGAGCAAGCCTGATCACATGGAAGAGTACTCTTAAGTTCCCTTGGCAAGCAAGATAATAGGTCATGGTCACCAGCAGGGAGAGCTTTGCTATGCTGCCAGGTCTGTCCCGGATGGATGCAGGGAAAGGGTTAGGGTACAGGTCTAGGCCACACCATAAATAGTTTAGTTATTATTGAACCTTCACTGCAGAGGTCTAACAAATAAAAATAAAATACAACCTGTGGCTCAATATGGAACCAAATATCACTGTTTATAAAAGAAAACCAATTTCCCCCCAGTACTGTAGTAGTATGGAGCTGCGGTGGCTCAAGTGGTTAAGACGCTGAACTGCAGGCTGTGGAAGGTCAGTAGTTTAGCAGTTCAAGACCCGGGTGCTGCAAGACAGGGTGAGCTCCTGTCTCTAGTTCCAGCTCCTGCCAACCTAGCAGTTCGAAAGCAAGAAATTGCAAGTAGATAAATAGGTACCACTTCGGTGGGAAGGTAACAGCGTTCCGTGCACCTTGGTGTTTAGTCATGCCGGCCACATGACCACGGAAACGTCTTCGGACAGCGCTGGCTCTTCGGCTTTGAAACGGAGATGAGCACCGCAACCCTAAAGTCGGATTCGACTGGCTTTCGAGCAAGGGAACCTTTACCTTTACCTTTACTGTAGTAGTAGTGTGCTAAAATAACTAATCTGTGAAGGGGACAGCAAACAAAGATTTTTATGGGACTAAAGAGCTTCTTAAGAGATGCTTTATGGAAAGAGAAGTGAGTGGTGAATAGTTGCCAATAATCCAATTGTGAACTGCGTGCATATTTCTGCCAGGGCACTAAAACAATCGTGAAGGGTGAGAAGATTCTGCTCTTGGAGAACAATAGTTTGTAAACCTCTGTATGAAGGGCCTAACACATAAGCTTGTGCTTGTTTGTTTTTGGTCCTAGCTCCACTATTTCCTGAAGAACATCTCCTTTAACAACACCATGGGGGACAATATCTTTTTCAGGAACGGAGAGTTACAGTTTGGATTTGATATTATAAACTGGGTCACTTTCCCAAACCAGTCCTTCCAAAGAGTGAAAGTTGGAAGGATGGATCCACTGGCTTCCCCAGGCAAAGAGTTCACTATTGATAAAGAGAAGATCACCTGGCACAGCAGGTTCAAGCAGGTGAGCTCCTCACGTCATTTTTGAGCCCTCTGAAAGAAATGAAAATGGTTCTTAATAATTTTCTCAGTTTCAAAAGAAATTCCATTGAACTACTCCATTGAGTAGCGATAATAGACTGTAAAGCAGTGTTTGGCTTGACCAATGTGAAACCTAATAGCTGTGGCTCAGTGGCAGAGCATCTGCTTTTCATGCAGAAGGTCTCTGGTTGAATCCCTAACATCTCCAGTTAAAATGGTCAGGTAGCAGTTTAGAAAGACCTCACCAGAAAGCCGCTTCCAGTCAGAATAAACAGTACTGACCTTGATATACCAACGTTCTGATTCAGTATAAGGCAGTTTCAAGTGTGTTCTTATGCCTGTGTGGCAGAACAGGCCTGCTGTGGCTAACAGCTAACAGAGCCTGTCCTATATTTTAACAACTAGTAGGGCATGTATAAGAGAGAGGGAAAGAAGATTTGCATTTTACCTATTTCTTTTGGATCCCTTGCTCAATCTAGTGCTGTGCTAAAAGTATACTTGTGAATATTTTCTTTTTAATTGATACTTTATAACTTTTGATGCTGGTAGTGGTTCTCTGTACCAAATAGACCTCCATAATCTTGGACACGCTATTTTAAAAAGGGGGGAGGCAGTTGGCAAGTGGCTATTCCTCCAAGGGCGCACAAGGCAGCAAACTGTCCTGTGGTGACCAACCTCTGGGCAGCGGGAGACACAGAGGCAAGGCCTCAGAATTTGGAAGGGAAGCTGTGCGTGCTGACCCTCCCAGTGGGCAATTCCATACGAAGGTCAGGTGGTGGCAGCAGGTTACCTGAGAGAGAAAGAAAAGCCTCTCCAGGTGTTGGGAAAATCTTTGAGGGCAGGGTAGAAGAGTGCCTGCAGGCCAGAGCAGACCCATTCTGCCACAGCCTGTGTTATGTATTTTACAGCCAAAATGCCCTCCTCCGATCCATTTTCCCATGTCAATATGTTGACCAACCAGTGAGATGAAACAACTTAAATATATATATTTAGATGCAAAACACTCTGTCATTTTTATTATGGTCAGAAGGTACCCCATTCTGCGTGTACAGACAGCTGCCGTGCTGGTTTTAGCAGAAAAGTGCAGGAAGGGAAACCATTTTGCTGTTTTGACTGTGCTCCGTGCTCAGATGGGACAATTTCTGGTCAAGAAGGTAGGAAATGAATTGCTTTGCACTATAAAGATGTCATGAATGATGGGTTACGGCGATAGTATTGAACATTAAATATGAGGGATATCACAGCAATGTAGCAGGATAATCAGAGGATAATTTTATAAGGAAAATCCACCCATGTATGCCCAGAAAGTTACACTGATATTTATTACTTTAGAATAATATCCTTCCTCCAAAGATCTCAGTAGCATACATTTCACAAACACAGCTGAGTTTTATCCTCACCATAACCGTGTGAATTAATTACAGCTGAGAGACACAGTGTGATAGGGTCAAAGTCAGCTGGTGAACATGGCTGGGCACAGATACTCCAAGTTTAAGGGCAGAATGGCATATTATGTACGTCTGTGATCATTTTCAATTTGGATTATTTTTCACAAAAACAAGTTGTGTTTTAAAGGGGGAGCCTGATGGTGGGGGAAGAGTGACTATTTAAATTCTACGACAAGATACCGAGATGGGTCTCCCCATTAGAGGCGTTTATAATGCCTAATTTAATAAGTGGAAGTAAGACTGTTAGCTATGAAACATTACTAACAAAAGAAAATGAATTAAAACCTTTCAAAACCCTACAAACCCTAAACATTAAGCTAACAAACTGGGAAAAGAATCAGCTAAGATCAAGATTTGCTAAAGACAAAATAAGAGATTTTGCAATAACAACGTCGGAATTAGACAAAATCTGGCTCTCATCAGCAGACAAATTAATACAAAAATTGTACAACTTCCTTTTAAAGGAAGATACTAAGGAGGAAACAATAAAACTAAGTATGAGGTTGTGGTTAAAGGATCTGGGTCATGATATAACCATAGAAAAGTGGACTAAAATGTGGAGCTCAATAAAACTATTAAGAGCTACATCTTATAAAGAAAACATCTTTAAAATGCTCTACAGGTGGCACTGGTCACCAGATAAAGTAGCAAAATGTTATAAAAATGCCTCTGGTAACTGCTGGAGATGTAAAAAAAAATAGGGTCTTATTTTCATGTTTGGTGGAGATGTGAGAAATTAGCTAAATTTTGGAAAGAGATACAAAAACTAATAGTAGAAATACTAGAAATAGAATTAAAGCTCGACCCGGAAGTATACCTCCTAAATATTTTACCAGAAGGTATTAAATATAACGATCTATGTGTGATACTGTATATTCTTACTAGCGCTAGAATCCTTCTAGCGAAATGCTGGAAATCAGAAAAAATTCCAGATAGAGAAGAGTTAATTATAAAAATTATGGAAATTAAAGAAATGGATAAACTTAATATGATACTGTTGGCAAAAGATGAAAGGTCGTTTAAAAAAAGATGGCAGAAATTAGATAGATGGATAGATACAAATGTGTAAAGAATCTCCAAAGGATACTTTGTATGAAGAATTGTTATTTTGTATGTTTGTTTTGGAAAATAAGTAAATAAACTAAAAAAAAAAATCTTTCCCACTGTACTGGTTTGGTTCCCAAGGCAAACTTCTCATAACAGAAGAAGGGGGTCATTTTTGCTGATTTTCCCTTTTACCACAGACTTTCAAATTTGCCCCTTGTGCTCTCCCTGAGGGTCCCCAGCCCCCTAAGAGCTGCATTTTGAAGTAGTATTTTGAGCTACAGTGAGACTAGGTTCCTGGCCTGGATCAGACCCATGGTCCATCTAGCCCTCATCCAGTTTTCCACACTGGCCAGTATGATGCCCTACAAGACCCTCAAGCACGAGGGTCCCCAGCCCCCTAAGAGCTGCATTTTGAAGTAGTATTTTGAGCTACAGTGAGACTAGGTTCCTGGCCTGGATCAGACCCATGGTCCATCTAGCCCTCATCCAGTTTTCCACACTGGCCAGTATGATGCCCTAGAAGACCCTCAAGCACAGAGGGCCAACTTTGCCCTGTTGTTGCCCTCCTAAGCAACTGGTATTTGGAGGATTACTGACTCTGAACATGGAGGTTCTCTTTAGTCACGAGGGCTGATAGCTATGGAGGAACCTGTCCTTTATGATTTTGTCTCCTTCTCTTTGAAAGCCATGGCTACCCACAGGATTTCTGCAGGACTTGGCACACATTAAAATGTATTGGGGAGTCAATGGCTTTACCTTATATTTTCAGATGTGAATGCTTGTGACAAGTGCCCTGAAGACCAGCATCCAAACCAAGGCCAAACCCAATGCATCCCCAAAAGGCTAAGCTTCCTGTCTTATGAAGAACCACTGGGAACTGTTTTGGTTACTTTGGGCCTTTTCTTTGCTCTGATGACTGTGGTGGTTCTAGGAATCTTCATGAAGCACCAGGAGACCCCCATAGTCAGAGCCAATAACCGGAGTCTCAGCTATGCTCTCCTGATCTCCCTCCTGCTCGGCTTCCTCTCCTCCCTGTTATTCATTGGCCAGCCGGGGAAGGTGGCCTGCCTTCTCCGCCATACAACTTTCAGCCTTGTATTCTCTGTGGCTCTTTCTTGTGTTTTGGCAAAAACAATCACTGTCGTCCTGGCTTTCATAGCCACTCAGCCAGGAACCAGGATCAGAAAATGGGTAGGAAAGCCACTGGCAAATGCCATTGTTGTCTTCTGTTCTGGCATTCAAGTTTGTATCTGTACTGTGTGGCTGGGAAACTCACCTCCATTCCCACATCTTGACTTTAGCTCAACCCCTGGAGCAATAGTAGTTGTATGTAATGAAGGGTCTATTGTCATGTTTTATTGTGCAATGAGTTACATGGGCTTTCTGGCCTTTGTTAGCTTGACTGTGGCTTTCTTAGCCAGGAACTTGCCCGGCAGCTTCAATGAAGCCAAGTTGATCACTTTCAGCATGTTGGTTTTTTGTAGTGTTTGGGTCTCCTTTGTTCCAACTTACCTGAGCACCAAAGGGAAAAACATGGTAGCTGTGGAGATCTTCTCTATCATAGCCTCCAGTGGTGCCATACTAGTCTGCTTTTTTTCTCCCAAATGCTTCATTATTTTAATAAGACCTGATCTGAACAACAGGGTGAATCTTATTAATAAAAGGAATAATGGAATGTAAGGGCCTGGAATGTCTGTGTTTGTCTCAGTTCTTTCCTAGTTTTGTTGGCAGGGAAAGCAGTGGCTATGGTATGAGAATGAGGATTAAAGTGCCTAACTTGATTTGGTTTTCAGTAGTGTATCATTCCTTTAATGGAAGCATTAAGTGCTCTCAACAGGAATTTTCAAACATATCTCAGTGTATCTTTGCTGACACTGGGGGAAGAAATCAAGCATCCTCGTGGTTCCTTTTAGATAAACAAGAATTACTCAGGACCTACTCTGAACCAGTGCTAGAGTCATATGGAACCTCCTTAAAGGATGACTCTCCCACACCAGAGAACTGACGGGAGCTGGTTCCCCCAGAGAGAAGTCCTAAGCCACCCAGGAGGAGCCTTCCATGGAGGTGGGGAACTTGTAGCCCCCTGGCTGGACCTGTCCTCCTCTGGAATTCTCATAATCAGCTTTAGCATCTCATGAACAGAGAAAACTAAGTAGAAGCATGGGTTCCTAGCTCCAGGCTGGGAACTATGTGGAAAGTTTGGGGGTGGAGCCTGAGGAGGGTGGGTTCTGAGGTGGGATATGATGCCATACAGTCCACCTTCCAAAGTGGCCATTTTCTCCAGGTGAAATGATCTCTGTAGCCTGGAAATCAGTTGTTATCCCAGGAGATCCCCAGTCGCCACCTGAAGGCTGGCCACCCTAGCAGCAGCACAGCCCAGAAGGCAGAGTGTATGTCACACATCCAATCAAATGCATCTAGTCTACTCAAGAGGAGAGAGCTGAACTCTGAGACTTTCCAGAGTTCAGGTCCTGCTCAAGTCAGCAGGAAGGGTGGATTGATGAGGTACTATACAGTCATCTGTGGCAGCCAGATCTTTGCTGGTACCACAGTTCCTTGAAACTAGTTTTTGTGCTATGTCTTGGAAGTGCCTTCTTGCATCTATTTCACCTGAGCTCAGCTTCCCAGCTTTCAGATCCCATCACCAATGCTACTGATCCTTGTGGCCTTGCCAGCCAGTAAGGTGCTGCCCCAGTCATTGGGTCTTTATGGTATTTCTGGAACAGAAACGGGATGGAACCCTTCTACTGGAGGAAGGAGCCCTTCCTCCAATGCCCCCTTTCCTCCACCAAAAAAAAAAATCCAGTGGAAGATTCCTTACTAAGAAGAACAATAGTTGGTTTTATACCCCACTCATCACTACCCGAAGGAGTCTTACAACAGCTTACAATCTCCTTCCCTTCCTCTCCCCATAACAGACACCCTGTGAGGCAGGTGGGGCTGAGAGAGTTCTGGCAGAACTGTGACTGACCCAAGCTCACCCAGCTGGCTGCTTGTGGAGGAGTGGAGAATCAAACCTGGTTCTCCAGATTAGAGTCTGCTGCGCTTAACCACCACATCAAGCTGGCATTGCATTGTCTCTGGATTCTCTTTGAGTGTCACTGATCTGATACATATCTGTGCTTGCATATGCCCTTCAGTTTCCCGTGTCCGTCCTGTCCTCCTGATGTACTAGGTGTCCCCAGCCATTTGGTTGTACATCCTAGTGTTTGACACAAAACCATAGGCTCTGCATTATAGTCATGTAATTCTCTTCGTTTGCTTTTGCTTTGTGGTTTCATTACATTTCTCAGTGCGTACCACTAGATGCAGAACACCCCCCCCCACACTTCAACAGGTAGTGGCTTCCAAAGTGAATAATTGCCTGTGCATTTACCAAAAGAAGAATATCATAGCCACCCTTCTTCCCTGTATTGTTAAAAAATCTAGGACTTGGGTGTGTGAACATGTTTGTAGAAATACCCCATGAAAGAAACCAAATCTAGGTGCAATTCTGCCTATCATTCTATTTCCAGTTATGGCGTTCACCATGCCTCCCCCCAAAGCAGGGTTTGGGTGGAGGACAGGAGGCATTTAAACTTTTCTTCCCTTGTAGTTTTACTGAGCAAGTCCCCCTACCCCACAGCTGGTGATTGCCCCCCTGGGGACCCTCCCACTGCATTTCTCTCACAGTGAGGCAAGTGTACATAGGGATATTATCAAGCAGCCTTATACTGAGGAAGCTCCTTATTGTCTGCTGTGACTGTCAGGAGCTCTTCAGAGTCTTGGAAAAGAGGGATAGTCTTTCCTGTTACCTGATTGGTTAGCTGGCAATGCCCATATTTAATGCCAATAATATGAACGCCTGAGACCACACTGAAAACTCACATGATTTTCACACAAATACCACAATACACAAGCGCAACAAAAGAGGTGTGCAATCCTTCTCCAGAAAAGGCGGGAAATGGTTTTCCCTCAGTAGTGAGAAAGTGAATCTACTCAGTGGGCCAAACACAAAGTGTTTTGCTAGAAAGCACCACCTTGTGGCTATGGTCAGTCACAGCATGAAACACTGCCCCATTTCAGAGTTGTTTTAATATACCTATAGAGCAGGTATGTCCAACAGGTAGATCGCGATCTACCAGTAGATCGCGGAGGGGTCAGAGGTAGATCACCAGCCCCACTTGCTGGTTTGCTGGACAGGTGTTTGGGGTTTTTTGTTTGGTGGTGTTTGATTATTGGTGCCAGTATGATGAATTCTTATTTTTACTTTTAGAACTGCATGTGCATCATAAATGGGGGGGCGGGGCGGTGGAACCCAAATTTAGTGGGCTAAAATCTAATTTGAAACTAATTTGACACTTTATTTTCATGGTGTTAGATCACCAGCACTTTTGGCCGGAAAAAATAGATCACTACCTGTTTGAAGTTGGACATGCCTGCTATAGAGCACAGGCCCTTATCAGAATAGCCCAGGCTGGCCCAGTCTTGGAACCTAAGTGGGGTTGGCCCTGGTGAGTCCTTGGATGGTACACCATCAAGTAATACCAGGGTCACTATGCAGAGGCAGGGAATGGCAAACCACCTCTGAACATCTCTTGCCTTGAAAACTCTATGGGGTTCCCATACGTTAGCTGTGACTTGATGGTGAAAAAAAAAAGGAGTACAGGTCCACAATCTTTTAGAGGCTGCAGGCATCTTTGGAACTTTGACACAGGGTGATGACTGCAATAACAAAATGGCTGCCCCAAGAGATGGAGCCAGTCACACAATGGCTATTGCAGGGGGTCCAGCCAACTACAAATTATATGGGAGAGAGGTTATGCATAACTCTAATAGTAACTCTTCAACATTTCAGGCAGGGCTGTGCTTAGCAGATGCCTCTTTAAATGAATATATTATTTTAAAGGTTTGTTTTTTATTGCCTTCACAGAGCATATCTTAAGTCATGCAGTGAAGATCCTTGTGCTATGGGGCCCTGAAGCAATGTTTTTTTTAAACTCTACACAGCCAATCAGGTCTCCAGTGGTCAATCAGAAGTCCTGTTTGGCTAAAGTCCACCTGGTTCTGCCCAATTTCTGAAAACACTTGACAGGCACCAGGAAAAGTGCCAGTGGGCACCATGTTGGAGACACTGCTATACAACATGTGATAAGATGCAGTGACTTATGGGATGCAATGAAAAGGAAAAAAATTGGAAGAATTCAGTAAGACCCATGGCCTTTCAGGATAGCTGTGACACTGAAACAACATGTGTCCGGATGTCCCAAAAGAAGAGCAAGTGTAATAAGGTACACGCCAACAAGCCTGGAGAAAATGTAACATCTAGTTGGCCCTAAGAGGAAAGGGACCATTAGATCCAATTAAAAGAGAGAGAAAAAGTCAAACTAGTATAAAATAGTAGAAAAGAGCAAGAGTTCAGTAGCACATTAAAGACTTATCTGAAGAAGTGAGCAGTGACTCACGAAAACTACTACCCTGCCACATATTTTGTTAGTTTTATTATTTATTATTTTTTTAATTTATATCCCCCCCTCCCTGCCTCTGCAGGCTCAGGGCGGCTCACAGCAAATGTACACACACACACACACACACACACACACACACACACACTTAAAACAATGGAGCAGTTAAAACACAACATTTAAATAGATAAAATCACAACATATAAATTTTTATAATAATAATAATAATAATAATAATAATAATAATAATAATAATAATAATAATAATAATAATAATAATAATTTCAGTTTATTAATTGCTTTCCCCAGTGGGCTCAAAGTGATTTACAGTTACACATTTTAGACAGGGGACTAACAATGTTCATAGCGGACAGGGAAGACAACATATATTCATTTTAATTGCACACGCTGTCACTGCACGGTGTAAACGTCTTCTGGCTTGGCTCAGTCATTTTCCGAACGGCTGCTTGTTGACCAGGCTTCAGGACTCGTATGTCAAATCACCACACTGCCACTGCCTGGCCGGAAACATCCACTGTAGGGATTTTTGTAGCCAAGAAGTTCTGAACCTCGACCAGGATGTCCCGACCGTCAGTTAACACCCTCTATGCTATTGGTGTGCCCACCCTCTCTAAGGAGTGGTTCCCATTTTATCTACTCGCTGAAGCTTTCGAATCGCTGGGTGGACAATGAGCTGGGGACAACAGGCTGGCTGCTCACACCAGCGCATGGCTCAAACTAACACAGTTCGGATGTTAAGACAGTGAGATATACCCACTGTGCCACCGCTCCCCCTTTGGGGGCGGCACCCTAGTCAAAGGCCTGGTGGAAGAGCTCCATTCTGCAGGCCCTGTGGAACTGTAATAGGTCCCTCAGAGCCCTGATGTCATCTGGGAGCTCAGTCCACCAGTACGGGGTTGCCACAGAGAAGGCCCTGGCCCTTGTCACCGCTAGCCTGGCTTCTTTAGGGTCTGGAAAAGCCAAATGGTTTTGGGAGCCCGATCTTAGTGCTCTCTGAGGGACATGTGGGGAGAGGCGGTCCCTTAGGTAGATAGGTCCCTGACCATATAGGGCTTTAAAGATAAGAACCAGCACCTTGAGCCGCATCTGGTATGCTATATGCAGCCAGTGCAGTGCTTTTAGGGCAGGCTGGATGTGCTCCTGCATGGAGAGGCACAGCAACAGCCTCGCCACAGCATTCTGCACCAGCTGCAGCTTCTGGATGACAAGGGCAGC